AAATAAAATTGTCATTTTAAACAATAAATCAAAAAGTTATTTATTTTTTATTGAGACAATGCAAAATTCGTGAACTGTAATTTTCACTATGCAAGGAAGTCGCGCATATTTTGAGCAACAAAAATGTTCCAGTGAGAAAGTTGTTCATTATAGTCTAAAAAAGTTTTTCCAAGAAGTTATAGTCCAATTTAATAATTAGTTAACAAATGATGAGTGTTAAAAGTCATCTATGGCTGAACGTTAATAGCGTGTGTGGTTCTTCCTTGAAAATAATTTTATGATTTTGTAGATGAAATTCAAGGTCAACTTTTAATAAACATATAATATCTGGAATATATTGTGTGCAATATTTTGATTTTTTTTGCCTAATTCAAAAAAAGTTTGAATATGAAATGAGGAATGATTGGTTTATGTGAGCTCACTCTTCATTCAGATTTATGATCAATAAGACTAGAAAACTTTGTGAAACAAAAATTTCGAACTGGATATTTTCTATTATTTCAAGTAAGGTTTTTAAGATATTTATTACAATTCAATCATAATTTAAAATTTCTTTTTTATGACATGTTATTTTTTTCTAATATTAAATTTGGAGGATCTTACGCGTCGAAATATCAAGGTTTTTTAATCAATTTATTGATACTTTAAGTATTTTATTTCTGGTTTATTTTTGGTAAAAAAAATAAATTCTTAAATTTAAAGGAATAATTTTTTTTAATACACGATTTCTAAATTTAAAAGATCTACTGAAGAATATTAATATTTTGAATCAAAATGTGAAAATAATTCAACAAATCTAATTTCCAATATATATATATCCAATATTACCAACCAGATAATGTATATTTAAATGCGTCATTTAAACAATGATAAAAAACATAAGAGGGCAAATGACATATATATAAGAAATATTGTATTTAAAGAAATTTTAGATTCGTATACTTAACTGTCTTCATGATGAAATGTTATAAATAATCTAACATACTGTATCATGTCCACTGTAAAAATGTAATGAATTTACAAAAATTACTATCATAAAAGGCAGCGCTGAACAATATCGGCTGCGCCAAATTAATAATTATTTAACAATTATTAAATGTGGTAAAAAAATCTCACGGGCTATAAAATACCAGCTGCACATTTATTATAAAAATTACTGAATTAAATATTGTAAAAGACAGCGCTGAATAATATCAGCTGCGCCTAATTAAAAAGTATTAAACAATTATAAAAGTTTGTAAACAATTCTCATGAGCTGTAAAATGCTAGCTGCATACTTATAAAAATTACTGAATTAAATATTATGAAAGACAGCGCTGAATAATATCGGCTGCGCCTTTTTAAGAACTATTAAAACTTCTTAATCATTATCTGCTGTGCTGCATAGTGTCGGCTGCACACTCACAATAAATAATTCTGTAATAAGTATAATAAAAAACTGCGCTGTATAATAACGGCTGAGTCTGATAAAAAATTAATAAAAATTTTCTAAAAGATATAGGATACGATGAATAATATTGGCTGCATAGGAACCATGTAACGCACTAAAAAAATAACATAAAAGGCAGCGCTGTATAACATCGGTTGCGTCTTTTTAAAAAATAAAACAATTAATAATTAGTAAACAACGTTATTAGAACAAATAATGAAATGATATATGATAAATTATTTATATTATTTACGTAATATTATTTATATTTTATTCTCCATTACCTAACCTATATACGCAATAATAGAAGACATCAAAGTGGTTTCTTATGTATATTTATTTATGGATCAATTTCAAGAGTACCAAACATGTTTAAAATATTTTTAATTAAAAAAAAGAAAGTTAACATAAAAATCTAATATAATAAAATTAAAATCATTTGAAATGAAAAAACCCCTAACATGAAATGCAAAGTTCAAAATAAAAAAAAACTTACAAAAAAAAAAAAAAATTGTAAAAAATTTAAATTAATAAATAAGAATTAAAAAAAGAATTGTAATTATTTCAAAATACATGTATACATGTGTATCTACTTTGTGTATATGTGTAAGTAAATGTGAAATTGTTAATAAAAATATATAACATAAGCATAAGTAATAGTTGGTTTTATTTAAAAATAAAAAAATTTTCCTGAATGGTGTCGGTCGGTCGGTCGGTCGGTCGGTTGGTCGGACTTTGTTTTAATATAATAAAGGATTTTAATATAATAAAGGATAATAAAGGATTATTTTATATTTGTAACGGGGTTTTTATAATTTATAATTAACATAAACTGGGCATCTAAACCCGCCAATTCAAAATACACATTATACAACAAATCTCAAAAAGGGGATCCTCCAAAACATATAAACGTCTGATGCCGGACGTTGAGGCAGGCCAACACTAACACACTTACCTCGATGACGCTCAGCTGACTCTTGACCGACGCCGCTTCTCGAGATGTGGGAAGAATTCGCCAAGGAGAAAACACTCAATAAAAAAACACTCCGAATTCAACGCTAACTATTTATTAAGTAATCGCCCATTAACCAAACAACAATATTACAAAAGAGTATATAAAAAGGAAACAATTGATACAGATATCACGTCCGCTCTCAATCGATCGGGTAACTGAACTGCCTGGTAGATCCCCCTGCCGGTCCTTGGATCATCCCTATGATTCCGTCTCTCTCGCTCCTATGGACAACCCTGGCCTACGAAATAACTAATCGGCCCTATTCGCCGCCCCCCGTGAACGTTCGTACGTCACGCCCGCACGGAGGGAAAAATCAGGGCTTTGTAGCACGGAAGTAGTTCGTGAATTTTTCGCCCGGCGCCTTTCTTCCCCGTAAAGTATGAATTCGTACGCTTTCTGCGCGACGAATATCTATGCTACAAGTCCAAGTCAGATGTGCCTTGGTAGCAAGAAACCGTGCTGCATTCGTAGCGACGCCACGCGAATAACGCAAGCACTAGCAAGGTGCTTCTTTTCCACGAGTTCCGCCCTATTTCGGTAAGAAGAGCTTCTTGCAAATACACTTTCGTGCAAACGTTTCAGAAAACGTATTTTAAAAATTCAATTTAAAGCCATTTAAAGCATATAACTTCAAAATTGTTTTTAATAAATAAACTATAATGGGTAAAAGAAGTCTGATAAATTTAATTATTGAATAATATAATAATATTATGATAAAAGTAAATAAAATAATATTATAAAGTGAAATGTAAAAGAAATGTAATTTTAAACAGTTTTAAACAGAATAATTTTTTAATTTTTTTAAATTTTAATAAAATTTTATTTTTAATTTTTTTTACATCATAAATGTTTTTATTTCTTGAGTCACTAATTTACTAAAAATTGACCTTAGTTTTATTATTATTATTTTAAAAACTAACATTAAGATTTTGATAATTATAATTAAAAAAAATTTTTTGTCCTTTTTTGTAGTGAAATGCCATGAACGCAGAGGATATATTTTTGGCCATGTATTTTTTTTTCCCGCTTAAGCCGAATTTAAAGTCCGAATTGTCGGATTGAAGTCTTCAAAAAGACATAACGAAATAAAACAAAAAGTAAATTGATTTCTCATGGAGATATTATCCAAAAAATATAAAATTTATAAATTTAATAAAAATGCAAAAATGGTGACTTTCTTAAAAAATTTTGAATTTAAAAATGTCAATTACTCTGGACAGAATAAATGTTAATAGCTTCGTTAATAGCTCAAAATATGCGTTTTGAAAAACGGTGCAAAAACTCTACAAAATTCAAAAACAATATTTATAGGTGTCAATACATTTTGTTATATTATGGGTTAAAAACGATTTTTAAAAATTGGTTTTCTATTATTATTTGTCCTCCAGTGAGACTCAAAAAGATATTAAGATATTCCTAAAAATGTGATGTTTATACACACACGCACACAAAATAATATTGCTTAAAAATGTAATTTTTGGGTTCCTGAGGTCGAATAATAAAAGATACATAAAAAAAATCGGAAAAAAAGTTTTACGAAAACAATACTTTCTCCATAAAAAAGCGAAAATGAAAAAATGTTTTCATGACACTACGATAGTGTACGTCTATTTATTCTTTGCTGCTAAATCTTAATCGGAAATCACTTTTTGCTCGAAATTTTCAGATACTTTCAAAAAACTGATGAAAACTTTGAAATCGAGAGAAAAATGTATTTTGCCGATACATTATGCTAATGTGTTTACATGTATTTTTTCGGCTGAATCTGAATTTGAAATTATAATCTTCGTAATGGCTCAAATTTTTTAGATAATTTTAAAAAAATTGAATAGGAGAGGAGTTTTCTGAGACAATTTTTGATATTAAGCCTAAAAAACAATTCTAACTTTGTGTTCGGATTCACCAGGAAAAACTATAAGAAATTTCACTAGCCTAGTGTCTCAGCCAAAAATAAATTTTGTGTGTGTACCTCTGCTATTAATATTAGATACTAATTAAACTTTAATATATTTCAATAGTTGAATTAAGCAAAATTTTAAGTATTTTTTGCACTAAAATATTAGGAATAATTGAATTTTTTATTTATTAAATTATACAATAATTATATTTTCAATTCCTTGAAACTTGGGAAAACTGAATTTTCAATTGAATAAAATTTTAAATATTTGAATTTTTAATTGATTAAAAAGTAAACAAATGAGGTTTTTAATGTAATAACTTTTGAAATAACTAAAATTCAATAAATGTTTTAAAATTGGGAATAATTAAATTTTGATTTGAAAACAAATTAATTAAAATATTTTTCTAGATAATTTTAAAAATGTTTCATTTTTTTATTAAGTAACCTAATTCTCCCTGGCATTTCTCTGAATAACAAAATTTTCTGACTCCTATCTGACATTTTTAAACTCTAGACACTCCGAAAAAAATAAAATCAGAAAATCTAAAAAATAATTTATTAAAATTTGTACATTTTAAAGTCTTATTCAGTCAGTCAAACACACTTTTTAAAATCAACTTAATTTAACTGTTATAATTTTCATTGCTTTTATACTTTTAAACTTTGTATCTTGTTGCTACAAATTGATCGCCATTTTTTGTACATAGTAGGCAAGGTGCTATTCTCGGTATTAACTCCGCATTTATCAATAAATTTGATCTACTTGGATCACAATGTACATTATACGCGTGGTACTGATGATTGAAGTAAATCGTTTCAAATTCTTTCGTTTTAAAATAAACACATTTATCTTCAACATAAAACACAGTTTTAAGCATACCAAATCGGGGACCGTCTTCAGTTATTCTAGTGACAAATACAGTTCCTTCTGAAAAGTTACTTCCGAGTATTTCTACATTTTTCAAAGTCATAACTCTTAAATTACTTGACAAATTTGGTATCAAATTTTTCAAATGGCTGTAAGCACTCGGATTAACTGTCAGCCCAAGTAAAATGTCAGAGAGAATAGGCGGACAAAATTCTGAAGTATAGCACAATTGTAATTGATGCATGATTGCAATTGTCAGCGGCAGGTTTACGTTCGAAGTAGTTCCCGAAGCATATTCTTTTAGTTCCTTATTTTTTCTCTCAAATTTCATTGAAGAATAGTGGACAACAGGACCATTTAACGTTATGAGTCTCGGGTAGTGAAGCCATAAATGCATTTTCGGTTTCAATTTTCCAAAAAGTTTCAAGTACTGCATGTTGTGTTTGCTTATAAGAATTTTTAGACTTTGAATTTGGCCTTTATCTAAAACCGGAGACATTAAAATATCAAGAATGTCGCGTAAGCAAAGATAGAGCTTCCAGTAGCAATTATCAGCAGGTATCAAATCACCAATCATTAATCCCAAATATCTCGTTAAGCACGTAATTTCGGACGCAGACTGTTTGATTTTTATTTTTCTTCCCCCTTTCTTTCCTACTGAATAAAACAAAGGCCTGGGCTTGTTTTGTTTCTCTAAATCATTGTAAGGAAAGGTGTCAATCCTGTTGTTTAGTTTATCCAAAGTTATTAAATTGTCTTCAATCAATCCTTCTACTACTTTTGACAATGTGTAGTCGAAAATTCCTTCTGGACAGTCGTGCATTACATCTCCGGTTATATTTTCATTAATTTCAAAGTCCTCCATTTCATTGAAAATACACTCTTCTTTAATTCCTGTTGTTTCAAAGCTATTTTTCTTCAAATCCTCTAAATAAGATTTAGCTGTTCGTAAAAGAGCTTCACTTTCTTCGATCATTTTTCTACACTCCTCCATAGAAGCGGAACACATGCGACAAAAGTAATTTGCTGTAAAACTTAAAGAAAACCCACAAATCCTGTTTAGTCCCATATTATCTCCTAATATTTGAATTAGCCGGAAAAAAGATGATAAATTTTACCGCCTACATTTACTTTCACACCTTCAATAGCAACCAGATGAAGATCTTCCATGCTTTTCCGAAATAGCTGTGCATTCGTAAATATTTTCATGTGTTTTGATTTGAAAATTGTGGACACAAAAACATTTCTCAACTTTGCAGACATGTGAGGAGGCAAACAAGCAAGTGAAATGTATACCCCTCCCATTTTTTCTTCACCAGCGTGGCTTCCTAAAGGATTTCGAGTCTCGAATTCGTCGAAATACAAATAAAGAGGTAAGACGTTCTTACCCAATTTTTCGTATTTTTTTGTCCAAAGATCAGCTTGTAAAACGTTCGACACATACTTTTTTTCTTTACTCAAGTCATCCATGTAAGTAAATATAGATTCGAGTACACCAGGAATTGACAGAGTTTTTTGCAATGTATCTTTTAGTGAAACGTATGCTCCATAAATTGGCTTCATTTCAACACGAACTGTTTGATCCTCATTAGTAATGTACTGACACTCTTTTCCAATTTCAAAAAGTTGGGGAGGAATGTATAAGCTGTTTTCTTCGTACATTTTGAACCTTAAATGCTCTGTTGAAACTTGATGAAATAAATCTTTGACATTTTCTAAAACAAATTGGGTTTTCGAATAAGCTGCCGAGTTTGATATCGGCTTAACCAAATTTTCAAATTCATTTTGAACAAACGGTATGAATTTTTCAGAAAAAAAGCCACTGAACATATTTATAATTAAGTCAACATCTTTTCTCGAAATATGTGACAAATTATACAAAATAAGAGTCAACTTTAAAATTTCTTTACTTAAATCTTTTCTGTTAACAGTAGGAATACGAGTAGAATCCATTTCTGCGAATTAACGAGTTTATCCTTTCCAAATCAAGATATTACGCTAACAAGATGTAACGAAGGTAAACGAATATAATGAAAATTTTACAAGTAAGAAAATAGTATATATTTTATACAACCTTACGTTGGTAATGACCAGAATAAAATTGCAAATTGAAGCAACTCTTTGAGTTTTTTCCGTTCGACACAATAACGGAATAAATATTTACAAAGTATAACTAATTATGCTATCGTAGTAAATTAACAAAAGTTCAGGTAGTGAAAAAGCGCAATTTAGTTCATTAAATTTGTTGCAATTGATTTATCACTTGAGCAACTGTACCGAGAATATTTGGAACGTGAAATTGAAAAATTTCTCTCTCGAGAAATTGCCATACATGATTGCAAATGTGTGAAAAATCTTTTTGAAAAACTTTCACAGATTGGAAGCACAAATCAATAGCTTTAGAAGGGCTCGCTACTTGGTAAGTGTGATTACCAATGCTGACATAAGCAGCTGTTATACTATTAATATTTGCACCATGAATGACAACATACGGTTGAGTAACTAATTTGTGTTCCGTGTGCAAAAGAACAATTTTCTGATTGACTTCTTTCAAAATGTTGCTAATGTTTTCTTTCTCCTGCAAAAAAAATTTTTTTAATTTAAAATTGATTTATTTACATACAATAAAAAAAAATTTTAAATTAATAAAAAAATTCAGTTTTATTAGTTATTAATAAGATATTTCAACAATTATTGTATAAAATAAAACTCTTTAAATAATACAATTCTTTAAATTTTTAGATTAATACATTTAATAACTGTTTTTAATTTTTAAGACTTAAAACCTAAAAATTGCAATCTCATAAACGTTTTGAATGATAAAAGAAGTTTTAAAATTTTCAAGCATTTTTAATCTAAACTTATATAAATCATAGATTTGTGTCCTAAAAAAACGTAAATTTCATTTTGCAAATGCACATCACTGTTAATTAAATATAGGATTTAAGATGTTAATGTTTGATGTTAAAAATAATAAAATTTTACAGAATATTGAATTAAACTTTTTTTAAATAATTGAACTTTTGAAGAATATAGTACAAAATTATTATAAATAAATGGTTTTACTAAGATTTCTACTGAAAAATTAAAAATAATTCAATTTTCGAAGGACTTTATTAGAATGATTAAGAACAAATGCTTCGTTACAAAATTTTTGATAAAAATTAATAAAATAATTTAATTTTTTAATTAAAAAATTTTAGATTTAAAAGTTTAAATTTTTACAACTGATTAAATATTAGAAGATTGTGACTGAAAATTTTGGCAAATTGTAATTACTAATTAATTACATAGACAGGGAAAAAAATATATGTACAATATTTTACGAAAAAAATTAACAGACGAATTGGGATCTGAAATCATACGAAGCGACCCATTCCTTTACCTGCTTGCGGAGACCATCTTGGATTTTTATCTCTCTCTAACATATGCACAAAAAAGAGATAAAAAACAAAAACAAGCTCCGTTAACAGGGACCACCAGATGTTGCATCGGAGTATTTCAGATCCCAATTAATTTTATAGACATAAAATTCACATGTTTTTAATTTTACCTTTACGTGATGAACAAAGCAACTCGAAACTTCCGTTTTCTCTGGATTCCACGCTTTTCCGTAACTTGACTTCTTCGTCAATTTTGTTATTTTCTTAAATAACAAGGGCAACAACAGTAATGCGACGTTGTTATCTACTTCTAAAAAATAATGTAAGTTATATCGTTATGGAATTTAAAAGTTTGTAATATTTCCAATTAAATTTTTAAAAAAACAAACCCTCAGTTGACGTTTTGTATTCTTTCAAAATGTTTTTAATATCTTGGTCTCTTTTTGATTTAGCCAATTTGATAATTTTTTTCGCAGTATTTGGCCAGTTTTCCTCAAATGAATTTGAAGGCTTACTGAAACCAGTCGAGAAATCTTCTTGTATCTATAAATTATATTTAATTTTGGTTAGAACAATTTATATACATTGGGGTTAAATTAAGTAAATAGTAAATTAAATGATGAAGTTAAATTATAACTCACCAAAGTATAACCTAGTGGATTCAGTAATGCGGGAAGTGTCCGAAAAATTTTTGCAAAATCAGACTTTGAGAAAAATAATTTTTTTTCCCTAATTGCGGTATTTGTCCACTTTTGTTTAAAATCGTCGTCGATAATGGTTACTGACTCTCGTAACACTTCGAAGGCTTGGCAAAGACTTTCGTCTAAAGTTGATAAATACAAATAAAGAAATTTCAATTTTTAAACGTAATAAGAGAAATAAACATATTTTTATAAAACTACAGGGTTTTACCTGTCGAATTATGTACTTTTCATAAATTTAATGCTACTTTAAGTATTTTATTTCGTTGTTTGAAAAAAAGAGAAAAGGTACCACTTTGTCGGTTATACATTATTTTCGAGGTTATTTTGAAAATGGAGAGGGGGGAAGAATTCTTAACCTATTGATTTTTCATCTTTACGGTGTTCTCGAATTAAAACAACTCTCATTTGAATAGTTTCCCATAAGAACCAAAGATATTTGCATTACAATCTTTGATTTCGTTTTTCTCAAAATGGGAGTTTTGGCAGTCTGAAATTTAAAATTCTGTAACTCAGAGAATTTTGTACCAAAATGAACATAAGACCCTTCAAAATTTTCCAAATTTAACAAGGAATTTGACCATATAGATAAGTCCAATAGTGCCAAAGTGGTACCTTTTCACGCAGACGTCCACATATTAAGAAAATCTTCACAATAGAAATAATTAAAATTAAATTAAAATTAGAAATAAATTACCATCATCCGCAATTTTCCTCTTTCGATTTTTGGATATTTTGATAAGATTTATCGCGATTGCTTTCTCTCGTAATTTGGCGTAGCAGGTTTGAAATGTTCCATGAGCATCGTTTTTTGGAGTACTTTTGGAGTAAAATGTTTCCTTTAAATAAGGCGGAAAAAGTATTGAGGCACTTTCGGCTAGAAATTCAAGTCTGTCTGCATTTATTCTATTGAAAAAAGGAAATAAAGCATGTTAATATACAAAATTTAAGTTACAATAGAAATTATATTATAGCACTAAAAGCTATATAACTTTTAGTGTTATATTTTACAAAATATTTTTATATGCTTACGAATATGAATTTGTTCGGTGAATTTCGTGATAAATCACAATTTTCGAAACTTTATGAATCGAAAAATAGGTTTGCTTTTTTGTGTCTAATAACAGTTGTCTGTTTTCTTGAACTGATTCAAAGTCAAAGGCTTGAATTAAAAAATTGCCTTCACCAGTCTGAGACAAAACTTGGTAAATATAATTGTTAATCCTTGGATTTGGCACTTCTTAAAGAGAAAAATTAAAAAATTAAAGCTATGAAGGATTTTATGTAAAGAAGTTTTAAGGTTATTCAAAAATTCTCATACCAATCACGTTTACAACGTCGTCAGAAATAATTTCTGGCTGTTGATCATAAAGGTAGCCATTTGAATTATCTATTATAAGTAACTCCTTTTCAACTGAGTATGATGCATTTAATGAGTAATTGCTACTATGAGAAGGCAATTCGGGACTTTGTTCGACATTAAAAGAATCTAAAAAAATATATTAATTTACTAAAGAAGCGATAAATAAGTTTCATAATTACATTATATTTAAATCAAATTATGAAAAACATTTTTTTATTACGAACACTAAATTTAAAAGGCCAGTCAACCAACTTCTCTGGCGGATCGGACATTCCGTGAATCTCCCCAACTGGAGAGATTTTGAGGAGATTCGCCGGAGATTTTTGGAATTTTTTACATTTCTTTACCATTCACTTTTATTTTGTTTATTTTTTAAATAGTTTTTAATCATTATAAAGCATTTTCATCGTCATTTTAAATTCTTAACTTTGAAATATATCGGAAACTGAAAGCGCAAAGTAGAGTAAATTTGTCATGCACGATCACAATCATTATTAATTAATTAAGACATTAATTTATGCAATTATTGTTTTATTTTACTCCTTAAATTATTCAGTTACCGGTCAAAAAACTTATTTTCGAGATTGTTTGCAGAATTATCTTTTTTTTTGACAATTTTCGAAAATCTCCGGTGAATCTCCTCTAACACGGTCTAAAATCAGTCGAAAAAAATCCCTGACTTTTCCGTGACATTTTTCTGATTTTCCCTGATCAGTTTATCTTGAATTTTCTCACTAAAAATCGCATAATTTTTAATTGTCAAAAATTTCCCTGACTTTTCACTGACTAATTATAAAATTCCCTGATTTTTCCCTAACTTCCCTGGCCCGATTTTTTACCCCGATTCATCCATGACTTCCAAGTTTTTCCTGACTAGTGGCCACCATGTCTAAATCTCACACATGGAAAAATTCACAGAATTCCCGATCCGCCAGGGTTATAGATAAAATTTATTTTATATAATATTTTGATCTAAATGTTTCAACTGTCCTTAAAAAAAGTAGCATTTTTGCAAACCGTATGAATGTTGTAAATCTGAAGGGGACACAATTGGGGAATACTCCGCACTTCTATTCTCGACTGTACTACAATTCATTGTTCTTTGTTCTAATCCTATACAAAGAAAAGACAAATACAGAAGAAACAAACAAAAAAGAGAAATAATATTACAAAAAAAGGAAATCCATCCTATGAATATTATTTTCGTTTGCATTAATTCCATAAAATTCAACAAAACAGTTCAAGAAACCTAACCTATAATGTTGTTGATGACAAACATGCACAGAAATAAAGACTAACAAATTTTAAAATAGTACACAATTACAATAAAATAAATAAAATAAACTGAACAATAATAAAATAATATTCATAATGTATAGATGTTATTATACAATAAATATTTCAACAAGATTACACATTCTGTCAACAAAAATATATTTGTTAAAGTAACACATAAGGTACTGATATAATATTATTATTAATATTTTTAGAAATTTATTATTAATAAGTTACAAACTAAATTGTTTTACTTACCATTAAATATGAATGAATCCGACACACAAATAAAACACGAGAACAAAAAGTCTTCTTGCACGAGAGTTCTCAACGAAATACACAAGTACCCACGAAAGTGTATTTGCAAGAAGCTCTTCTTACCGAAATAGGGCGGAACTCGTGGAAAAGAAGCACCTTGCTAGTGCTTGCGTTATTCGCGTGGCGTCGCTACGAATGCAGCACGGTTTCTTGCTACCAAGGCACATCTGACTTGGACTTGTAGCATAGATATTCGTCGCGCAGAAAGCGTACGAATTCATACTTTACGGGGAAGAAAGGCGCCGGGCGAAAAATTCACGAACTACTTCCGTGCTACAAAGCCCTGATTTTTCTCTCCGTGTAGTGGCGTCGACTACGACGCTCCTTGAGGAACTCCAACTTAAGTTCCTCTTTGAGTTCCTGTGGAACTCCCTCCAAACGTTGGTCTAACTCTCGCAGCTCGTCGAGAAGGGTTGGACCAGACGCCGCCACTACACGAGCCTCAGGCTCGACGTTTTCCTCCCTAGGTGGGGGCCGCTCAACTTGTTGGGGAACCGGCGAACTACGACGGTTCCTTGGTGGAGGGTCCTCCCGTTCCACCAGCCGCTGAGATGGCCTTGACGACGAGGTCCCATCACGCTGACTCAGGAACTCGGCATGCACGCGTGAGCAGCGTGGACACGTGTTAAGGGTCACCTCCCTCCTTCCGCAGTTTTTGCAAAAAACTGCCCATTCTTTTGGGCAATCAGAGAGGCGATGGCCTCTCTTCCAACAATTGAAGCAGGACCTCATAGGCGGGTCCAACCTTGGATCCGTCAGTATTGGGTCCAAACCCTTGAACATAATACCGGCCAATACAGCCGGTAACTGCCTCCTGCCACTCGCACTTATCACTGAAGATGCTGGCGCCGGTAAGGTTTGGATCGCGCAAACCTCCGCCACCCCTGCCTCCTTAGGTAAGTGAGACGCCGTCGGTTTATACACGGGCCTCGGCACACCACTTACATAGTTCTCCGACTTGAGAGGATGTCGGTTTCGATATTCGACTTCGAACTCCTGACGAAGTCGAAGCCGCTCTACTCTTCTCTCCGGGGACAGTTCCACCGGAGCCACCGTCCTCTCCAAGTCGGCCACCGCCAAACGGCTCTCCCACGCTTCCTCACTCTCACCGGGAGCACGTTCCAATTGGTACGGGTCACGCCTCTGACGAAGTACCTTCTTGACGGCCCCGGTGGCCACAATTTTGTCCGTGGACGCCTCCACACTGGTCTCAGCAGCCACTTCAACAGCTGCAGCCTCATTCAACTCACCACTCAACCGGGCCACAGAATTATCACCAAGAACAGATGGTTCCGCTATCTCCTCCGGTTGAGTGGGGGTAATGCCTCGTTCCTCAAAAACTCTCTGGACCAGAGTTTCTACCCTGTCCAGCCGCGATCCTACCGCTGGAGGCGAGAACTCCGGCAAAGCCTTCTTCGCCACTAGGTGCCGACCACTCCACCCACGACGAGCGCCACAACCACTCCTCCACATTTTTCTCTTCGGCGATGGCCCAGATGGTGACTTGAGCCGACGTTTGGGCATCCAATCTGAAAACAAAAATATATTAATCACCACTCTCAACCATTACTTAACTCTATTTACGAGGAGGTATATATCTTTTCAAATCCGAGACATGAACTTTGGCCACTCGCCGCTTATCTTCGGATTTCAATTCATACACCGAGGGAGACAGTTGCCTAATTATTTCGAACGGACCTTCGAATTTTGGAGCCAGCTTGGCTGAGAACCGTTGATTCGCGTTCGATAATTTATGCGTTCGCCAAAGTACTAGATCGCCTACACTAAACGTTGCCTCGCGCTTATTTCGATTGTAGTACTTCGCCTGTTTCTCCCTTTCCTCGTCTATAAAACGAGCCACCAAATCCCGCAATGCGTCCAATCTACGCATTCTATCGCACCAGACTTCTGGATCAATGCGCTGTACCAATCGTTTCTCTTCAACCTTCCGCCGTAAACTCTTAACGGGGTTAGGTTGCCTACCAAAATTGAGAAACGCCGGTGATACCTTCGTAGTCGCTTGGACTGCCGTGTTGACTGCATGACGGAACTCGTGCACATGCTTGTCCCAATCACGGTGGTCAGAACCCACAAAGGTAGCGATCATTGTTTTCAGTGTCCGATTACTTCTCTCAACGGGGTTGGCCTGAGGGTGATATGGTGGTGTCGTCAAATGACGCACACCATACTCTTCGAGTGTTGATTTAAGATGGTTATTGTCGAATTCTTTCCCGTTGTCTGTCAACAAGAAATTCGGAGTTTCCCATCTGAATAAAATCAACTCCTCGAAGGCCTTGGCAATTGATTTGCCATCCGCCGATCTCAGAGGTTTCACCTCTATCCATCTGGAAAATAGGTCTTGGAACACTACCAAGTGCCTATTCTGGCTTTTGCTAGGAGGAAACTCCATGCAATCAGCCGCCACTACGGTCCAAGGTCGTTCCACAATCCTTCGACCCATGAGACCTTGAGGTCCTTCTTGTGACACTTTGAACCGTTGACACTCGGGACATTGCCTGACAAACGTCTGAACATCATGCCATACTCCTGGCAAATAATATTCCTGAGCTACGCGTTGGTACGTTTTCTCAATGCCCAAGTGTCCCGCCGAAATCTCAGAATGTGCGTTTTTCAGCACTTCTGCCCTATACTCAAGTGGAAATACTAATTTCCACCCCACTTCATCGCCAGTTATCGGAAGTAATAATGGGTCATTCTGATGACAATATAACCTCTCTTCTTCGACCAACCAGCCAGGAAACCTCTTCGGAAACTTAACGACCATCTCTTTCCTCTTCAAATACCACGGATCTGTGATTGTCTCGAAGGCCGCTAACTCGGCCTCTTCTTCATCGAACATGCGAGACAATGCGTCTGGTACATGGTGATTCGCACCCTTCCTATGTACGATGTCGAAATCCCACTGCTGCATCTCCAATGCCCAACGTGCCAGACGCCCTGTAGGATCCTTCAGATTCCTCAGCCACTTTAACGCACTATGATCCGTTATGGCCTTGAATTTAGAGCCTTCCACATATGGTCTAAATTTACGAATTGCCCACAATAGGGCCAAACATTCCCTTTCGGTAACGCTATAATTGCGTTCCGCCGATGTTAATGCTCTACTGGCATAAACAATGGGATGTTCGCCATCCTCAGTCTCCTGTGTAAGCACAGCTCCAATCGCTGAGTCACTTGCGTCACATTGTATCGTGAACGGCTTAGTGAAATCAGGACGGGCCAACACTGGTGCCGAAACCAATTTCTGTTTCAACTCTTGAAACGCCTCTTGTTGGTCACTTTCCCATACCCAATTCTTATCCTTGTGTAGTAGCCGCAAAAGTGGTATTTTAAGCTCGCTATCCTTCTGGATAAACCGCGAATACCATCCTACCATTCCTAGGAATCTACGAATTTGTTTGATATTTTGTGTAGCTGGATATTCCAGAACCGGCGCTATCTTATCCGGATCTGGCCTCAAACCGTCTTTATCCAAAACATATCCCAAGTACGTGACCCTCGAACAACCAAATTCGCATTTACTCGGGTTCACTACCAAACCAGCCGCAGCTAATTTCTTTAGGACAATTTCCAACCAATGAAGATGTTCCTGATAATCGTTTGTCACGATAATAATATCATCTAGGTACCCGAACACCACTGGTTCGAATTCTGGACCGAACAAAGAGTCGACCAGCCGCTGAAATGTCATAGGCGCGTTAGTTAGTCCAAAGGGCATTCTTTTGAACTGGAATAACCCTAAGCCTGGAATTGAAAACGCTGTATACTTTTAACTCTCCGCCGACATTGGTACCTGATGATAGGCCATCTTCAGATCTATTTTGGATATATATCTGGCCTTCCGTAATTTATCCAATATTGAGTCCACACTAGGGATCGGATAAGCATCTTTGATGGTTACTTTGTTCAGATCTCTGTAGTCGAAACATAACCGTAAAGTACCATCACTTTTTTTACAACCACTGGTGCTGAGCTCCAATCGCTCGCAGCACGCTCAATGATCCCTTGCTCCAACAACTTTTTAACCTCTTTTATGAGCCACTCAAGAATCATGGGTGACATCCTTCGTGGTCTATGCTTGACCGGTGCCGTATCACTCAAACGAATGTGATGTTCGGTTAAGGATGTCATTCCTAACTCTGCCGTTAGGGGTAGTACCAACTGGTTGACCATTAGTTGAACTTCTTCACGCTGTTCATCGGTCAACTCCGATATTCCTGCACACTCCGCAGAAATATCGCCACGATCCCGCTTATTAAGTTGAGTCGCAAATTCATGCCACTCACCCTTCTTAATTCTCCAGAGGCCCTTGCCCAATTGGACATCCATGTCCATGTCCTTGCAAAAGTCAATGCCCAAAATAATATCCTGAGTCAAAGAATCAATTGCTTTTAACTCAAATGGTTGTGAATGACCGTCGACTGTCAACCACAATCTAAACTTTCCTAATGTACTCGTTGAGCCGCCAAGGGCACTCTGGACCGCTGTATCGGCCGCCTCTAATTTTTCCCGAAACTTGGCCGCCAATTTGGGACCCACAACTGATATCATCGCACCTGGATCAAACAACGCCATATATGGACGATCCGCGATAATTACTTTTAAAAAGTATCTATTTTCAGCCCTTGTCCCATCAATCATTTCGTTAGGTTCGGGGAATTCCGTTGCATCACTTGCAACTTCTCCCCTCCCCTGGACTATACGTGCTGCCAAATGTTCAGCACTATTAGTCCCACCAACACCACTAGTAGGATGTATTATCCTTTGATCACTGGGACAATGTGTCCCAGTGCCACTAATGCTTGGTGTCCCTCTCTTAGTACGGAGTGAGTCCTCCTCACTCGAACAACAAACTCTATTTGTCTGCCGCGCAGACTTTCCACTAGGTGAACACTCACCTTTACCACTTGTGACTAGTAGATGAGTCCTGAGTAAGTTCTCCTTACTCGCCAGCAACTCATTTTGTGAATGGCCCACGACCATATAACTGGGTGATCCCTCACCCGTTCTACTAGACACGTTTTGTTGAGCCCTGAGTGAGTACTCCTCAATCGCCAGCGACTCATTTTGCGCATGACCCACAGTCATTTCGCTGGGTGAACTCTCACCCCAACACTTCATCCCTCTATTTTGAGCCTTGAGTGAGTCCTCCTCACTCGTCACCTGCTCAAATTGAGTCTGTCTCACAGACTTAACACTGGGCGAACACTCGCCCCTCCTCTCTAACACACTTTTCTCATTTTGAGCCTTGAGTGAGTCCTCCTCACTCCTCCTCTGCTCAATTTGAGTTTGACGCACTAATTTCACTCTGGGTGAACACTCACCCCTCCGCTCTTCACTCTGTTCCTGTTGAAGCTTGAGTGGGTCCTCCCCACTCTCATCAGAGTACACCTTCTCTTGCACTCTCAGGAACACCTCTTCACTCGTGGTGACTGAGCCTAAGGTTGGGGGGGAGGGTTTGTCGGTCCCCCCCCAAACTCGTTTCCCCACATTGCTCGCAATGGGGCACAAGTTGGACAATTTTTAAACACAGTGCCTTTGGTCCCACAGACCTGACACTGGCCACCAAGAGATTCCGATTGTTTATTCGGGCATTCCGAAGCAAAATGTCCCTGAACTCTGCACTTGAAACAGACCCTCGTTGGACATTGGGACGCCCTATGTCCCACCACCTGACACATGTTGCAGGTGCCTAAAAATGGCCGTGGTTCCGGTACAGTACCACTGACCGGCCTCGATGGTTCGGGTACTCTTTGTCCCGAAAACCTCTTCGGAGCTACTGCTACGGGTGCCTGTCGTGCTAACTGTTTTGCCCCGTTTTTGTTTGCTCCCGAGTTCCACTGCCCTTTTTGCATTTGGAATGCATCGACTTCCTCAGCTTCCTTCCTTTTGGTCACCTTCTTCTTTCTAGAGTTGGACTTTTTCTTAGCTGGCTTTTTGTCCTTGTCTGACCCCGAATCCGACAGAGAATCCTCAAGCAGCGCATCTAGCTTGCTTGCCTTTGCTCCACCTCTTGGTGCCGCCGATGGAAATCTCATTTTTTCCTTAGTGGGTGGTGGCATATAACGCTTATCCAGATCACGAATCTTCTCGTATCTCCTCGCGTATTTTTCCAAATCACCCAAGTCTTGCACCTCCTGGTTTGCAATGAACCGCCTATATTCGGGTGTCAGTCCTCTGAACACTATTTTTAACATTTTATCTCCCGATAGGGGCCTCTTAAAGTGATCTGCGATCATTTTTAGATTGGTGATATATGACGAGAGTTTTTCGCCTTTGGCTTGGGTTCTGGCTTTGAGCTCGTCCCAAATGTCATCATCGTCCAATACCCTAGCAAACTCTCTCATGAAAACTTTTTTAAAGGTTTTCCATGAGCCATTCCCATCCCTCACCACCCTAAACCACCTCGTGGCCGACTGCCGCAGAACTCCTGGGACTGCCCTGAGAATTTGGCCATCACTCAGGCCATTGCGATACTTGCAATCCTCCAATCGTTGGATAAATTCTTCTGGGTCTTCTTTCTCGCCTCCCGAGAATTTAATCTCCCAGTCTTTAAGTAGTCTGACCGTCCCCTGATCCACCCTGGATTGCTGGTTCCGGTCCTGCCTATCTTCGACACTCTCCGAATCGCTTTCCGATTCCGAAGACGACAATGTTCGCCATGACTGCCTGTCGCTCAACCTAGATTTGACATAATTGTCCTTTTTGCCCCCAGAGTGATAGCTCTTGACGCTATCCTCACCACAGGACTCATGTCCTGTGGGCCTCTTCTTCTTTGGTGTGGGCTCACCCTTAGCCCGTCGTCCCCACTCCTTAGATTCTGGGGCCTCTAATACACGTTTCATGTCCTGTACTATTTTCGACACTTCGTCTATTGTCACCTCTGCACTCTTTTGACTAGTTGTAGACTGATTTACTCCCTGTTTAGAGATGGCACCTAATCTTTGTTGAGGTAACTCGTTGGTAAGTGGACCCCTTCCTGTGTCCGCTTCTGGATTGCCACCCCGTTGATCGGCGCCAGCCTGAGTACCCGTCTTCCACCAACCTAACGCTGTTTTTTGGCTGTGGGTGAAAAAGGTCTGTGCTTCAGGCCCCCTTTGTAGCCACTGAGCGATATGATTCATATTCCAAGTTTCAGGAAAACTGGCCAAGTTAGCGCCCGCATTGACATCACCCGTCATTGACACTTCTTTTCCGCCAACACTGGACCTGGGTATCTGTGTCCTCTGTGATCCAATCGAATCATTTTCGTCAGTGCTATTGAGTTCCTCAGTCACCGCTATATCAGCGCCACTACTTTGTCCCCCTATTGCCCCCAGTGATTCCTCTCGCTCACTGGCCACTGAATCCGATCTACTACTCCTTTTTCTTAAAGGGCCAGGAAGTCCTTCCAAAATGAATACGTTGGATGAATCTGCCGCATCGTATTTATCTGCCCACGGCACATACAATGTTTCTCCTAAAACAATTCTTGTTCGGAGCCTCAAAAGTCTTTCATACAGCACTTGGACTGATCCTTTGATGCTGCATCCTTGACTGTTTAATTTGAAAACGACATCTTCAATTGTCATTAGTTTGACCTGCTCCCAAATTTTTCGGGCCTTCGGATCTTTCAGAACCGCCTCCATTTGTCGTTTAAAAACGTCGGACTCCCTACTCATGTTGAAATAATTCATAAATTTCAAATTCCCACAAAAAAAAAGTTTCGAATTCAATTGGCTTATTTTTCAAAATTTTTCCACCCAAAATGGTGCCACAAAATTAAGAAAGGACAATAGTACTGCCAATACACACACAAAAAAAAAATATTATTGACACGTTAATTTAAAAGAAATTTTCGCTAACTAATTTGTAGCTAGCGCCCTCTTTAAAATGGACAAAAAATACGCCGATAATAAAATAGTACCGTACAACACACAATAAAAATTAAATAAAATTTTTAATCTTATATTAATTTATCTACAACCTGCATTAATATGCAGCCACCAAAGAAAAAGAATTTAAAATACACACCACGCGAGCCTCTACGATTAAAAAAAAATTTTTTCAACATTCAAAAAAAAATAAATAATGAACAAACACAATTAAAAAAAAATTTGCTAACCTTGCGAATGAGCAAGCCACAGTTTAAAAATTGATAAAATGTTCAATAATTTAAAATTCTTTTACTTGTCCACGACAAGTCGTAAAAAAAATTAAAATTCTTCTTCGCAAGAATTTTTCACCACTCACACAAAATTTTGGAAATGGCGTCTAAAATCTTATTTCCCGCGGAAAAGATTTCTCACGATACTATAAACGCGAATGACGTCACTTCCACACACGCCGAGAAAAAAAAATTATTTAATCTACTAATAAAAAATTTTCGATCAATTAAGAATTTTCCGAGAGAGAAAAAAAAAATACCTATAAAATTAATCTCGACAAACACAACACTAATCAATACTAATTTTCTTGATTAATTTAACTAATTTCAGGTTTTACCAGAACCGAAAAGGCCACAAACACTTGCGCGCGATTTTTCGTTCCGATGACGTAATTCCTGATACCGCCAATTTCGCTCAATGTGACGTCACGTCCGAGCACATGGCGAATAAATTAGTTTTTTACACACTGAGTTCAATTTCCCGATGTATATTCCCAATATACACGGCCACACAAAATACACAAAAAATTCAATCAATAAAATAAAAAAAATCACAAATCAATATATACCTCCAAATAAATAGTTTTAATTACACATATAAAAAATTTTCCTCTGCCTCAATGTCTTGGCGTCGCCCCACGTTGGGCGCCAAAATTGTAACGGGGTTTTTATAATTTATAATTAACATAAACTGGGCATCTAAACCCGCCAATTCAAAATACACATTATCCAACAAATCTCAAAAAGGGGATCCTCCAAAACATATAAACGTCTGATGCCGGACGTTGAGGCAGGCCAACACTAACACACTTACCTCGATGACGCTAAGCTGACTCTTGACCGACGACGCTTCTCGAGATGTGGGAAGAATTCGCCAAGGAGAAAACACTCAATAAAAAAACACTCCGAATTCAACGCTAACTATTTATTAAGTAATCGCCAATTAACCAAACAACAATATTACAAAAGAGTATATAAAAAGGAAACAATTGATACAGATATCACGTCCGCTCTCAATCGATCGGGTAACTGAACTGCCTGGTAGATCCCCCTGCCGGTCCTTGGATCATCCCTATGATTCCGTCTCTCTCGCTCCTATGGACAAACCTGGCCTACGAAATAACTAATCGGCCATATTCGCTGCCCCCCGTGAACGTTCGTACGTCACGCCTGCGTACATCAGTTCTACGATAGATTTCGCGAAAGCAACTGAATTTGACTGCCACATAGAAAAGCAAGACGAAAACCCAACTAACGAATGCTTCGTTACATTTTAATGTCATATGTATAGCGTGATTGGGAAGTCGTGGACAACCTCTTATAGATCGATAGAGAAAAAAATTCTAAGAGGGACCATTTGGTTAAAAATTGAAAATTGTTAACCAATTTCGAATAAATAAAATTGGCAAATGTATAAAAATAAGAATAATTATGACGTCATTTTTGTTATCCGTAATGTATTCCGTAAAAAAACAAAAGGCTAACTTCCCATTGAACGAAATGTTGTGATTGGTTAGTTTAAGAGAAAGTTACTAGAAACTTTCGTGATTTAATTTGAAAATGTAAACAGAAAATGTTTACAAAATTATTAAATTAAAAAAGTAATTGTGAAATAAAAAAGTGAAGTGAATTTATAAAATTAACCCAAAATGGAATACCAGATGTTTTCTGCGATTTGTTTAATTCAAGGTAAGTGAAGAAAAAATAAATAAAAAAAAAATTCTAGGTTAAGTAGGGTTAGTTTGTTTACATTTTTTTCCTTTTAAAAATATTTGTTTGTTAAAGACGGATGTTGATTAACAAAAAAAAATAAATAAAGTAAAATAAATTTTGAAGAAAAATAATAAGTTAGAAACCACACTAATCTTTATTATTAACAACCCGCTTATTCGGAAAGCGTTATAGCTCTTCGCTAAGCAAATTAGAAAAAGGTAGTGGACTGTTGTTCAGAGTGTTATCCATTCAACACCCCCGGATAGACGGTATTTTATCGAAAATGATTATAAAGAAAGAATTGAGATAACACAAATAAAGGCGATTAAATAAATTGAGAATTGCATTGACATAATATAAGGTAACATTTATTCATACAACCCTCAATGTGTGTACATTCGATTCCCCAATTAAAATCTTTAATATAAAATGATTACAATTAGAAACTTTGCTACTTTAAGCTACTTGAATTTTTAAATTCAAGTCTCACAAACAAATATTGTTTATCGTAAATGCAACAAATAAAAATAACCCAAAAACAAAATAAAGATTTTATCAACACGAGAAATAATTTGTGTGTTTAGAGTAAGTGTGATAGTGTGTGTTATAAAATTTGGCAATTTCACGTAGTGCTTATAAACTCAGAAACACTCACCTCAATAAATACAATTAAAATAATACGGAAAAGTATCACATTACTTTTCTAACTCTTCGAGGATTTTGAACTCTCTGCTGTCATACGACTCTATGGAATATAGAAGTCGATCTTTTACTTTCCTATATTTTATATTTTTGCTTTTAATAAACTGGAATTATTTGCTGTACTTAAACAATTATTTCAATATTTCAATCCTCGTTCATTATAAATTCAGAAATTTGGGTTCACCAAATCTGAATGAACTAAACGATAAGGTTGAAATATAAACAATTCTGTAGATAACAAACGATATAATTTGTGAATTAAGAACTCAGCACTTTTTATATCAATACCACTTTATGCTTGTTAAAATAATCCTTCTTTTTCAATGAACTTTTTATAACTTGTACGACGTCACAAATTGTGGAAAATGCACTTTTAATTTCAGATAATTAGACAGGCTCGACCCTTACTGAGGGGAGTAAATTAATAAATCAACCACCTTTGGTGGGAACAAAACTTAATAAAAATTCTTCCGCCTTTTTGCGGGTAATACGTCCGCCTTGCGGGAAATACAAAATAAGACTCCCTGAATAATAATTTTGTGGCAACGATCACACCCATTTGGTTTATAATTTTAGGTAGTGGGAGGGTTGATTTTGCAATCAACACCTCGTTGTTTCCATGCAAGTTTTAGCAAAACTTGCATTTTAAATGTGGCGTGATCGGTTCAACCACCTTTATTAACGGTATACTTTATGTGTTTCCTCATTTTCCTAAAATAATGTGGCAACTCTTAGAGTGTAAGTCCCACAACTTGCGAAATCGACTGTTAATTTAGTTTGAATTATTTCGCAATATGTAGTTCAATAATCTGAACTCATTTGCGAAATAAACTTTAATTTAGAAATTTAAATAATAAAAAAAAATGAATTAATAAATATTTATTGAATAATTAGAAATATCATTTAACTATTCTAGTGTCTAAAACTTAGTATGTGTGTGTGTTGTGTGTTGTATAGACGTAGGTATTTAATTGACAAAAAGTTGTAGCGTTGATAAAATAAATATTATTTTTAATAAATAGTATTTATTGCTTAAAAAAAAAATTAAAAATTACGGAAATCCGTCCGTAACAAATACCCCCCTTTTTTCTGGCTGACGTCCCTTGGCAGCCTGTGTAGGTGTGATGTCATCTATTTATAATTTATTTTTTTTTTACAAAGGATCCTTTAGTGGTTTTACATTTTTTTAAATGTTTACAAATTGTCCAAGAACGCAAAATGTTGTATGTTGTAGAATAGCTGAAACAAAATCTAACGAGAACTGATTTTCCTTAGATATTGATAAATAGTCGTTTCCTCTTTTTTTGTTTTAGGAAGATTTTTAGTGAAAGGTCAAATAAGTTCTCGTCCTTAAAAGAAAAAAAAATGTTGTTTGTACGAAAAAAAAATGATAAAAAAAAAACTGATATTATTTTTTTTTTTTAAAAAAAAAGAAAAATAAAGAATAAAGAATAAAATCAAACCAGTAAATTATTAAATTTCATTATTTTGATTGCGTTATAAATTGGTATTTATGAAAGAAAAAAAAAAAATATTAGACAATTTTTTTTGTTAAGCTTGGTTAATTTAAAATTATTATATAATTATCAATTTTAATAGTTTACTAATTTTGCTTAAGTTAAAAAAAAATAACACATAAATTCAAGTGTATGGAATGTATTTTAAAACAATTAAAAAGAAAATTGAAATATCGACACTTGGTTTCTTTTACCTAATAATGTGTCGTATATTTCTGTACATATCCATACATATATTTTTTTGTTGTTGAATGCAAACAAATGAAAATAGCTGTTTTGTTTCGAATTATAGAAAAAAAATTAAATGAAAAAAAAATTTCTTATTTATGGCTAATATAAGTGTATATATAAAATAATAACACAAAAAACATGTTGGAGATAAAGTATTAAAAAAAAAATTGTTCTCCAACCCCTAACCCTCTCTCTTTTCTTGCTGTCGTCCCTTGACAGCTCTTTTTTTTTTGAATGAAGGTTAGAAAAAGGTTAGTAGAAATGAATTTGATTTACGTTATATATTATTCATACTAAAAAAAATGTGTCGCATTTCTGTATCATATTGTATGTAAAAATTGCTGAGCCTCTTTTATTTTTGTTAGTTTGCAGAAAGTGTTTCCTTTAAGTGTTCGTTTATATTACGTGATCAGTCTTTCTATAGTCTTTCTCGAGTTCCGAGCTATATTACAAAATTTTCTTTCCTTTGTTATTTGTTCGAAGTTCCTTTGTTCAATTATTTAATAACTTATGTCTTCCCAATCTTTTTCTTTCGATTCTTACGTGATGGCCCTTGAATTGGCTAGGAGTGGCGTGGTGGATGCGGCGGGTTTTTTAGTTTGGAAGAGGTTCGAGCTGGAGAAATTGCAGTCCGATAAAGTGTTGAGTGGCTGTCGTGGGTATGTATTTTGTTTAATTACTTCCTTTCCCTTTTTTTTTTTTTTTTTTTTTTTTTTTTTTTTTTTTTTTTTTTTTTTTTTTTTTTTTTTTTTTTACATAAAATGTTTTACGTTTATTTAATTGTGATTTTACTTAAAACGAAAAAAAAATTGTTTTAGGGTTCAAATTTTTATACCTGAGTGGGTAGATGCTCCAGCTAGAAACCCTTCCTTCTCTAAATGGCCTGTGGATTTGGTGGGTATGCGGAAAGCAGTAAAAAGCGATGTGGGGGAGGTTATTTGGCGCCAAGAGTACCGTTGGAGTTGGGTGAAAAAAAAATACCAATACCGTGGCTATTGGGCGCCTGCCTCTTTTGAACACCCCACCTTGTGTACAGTTCCGGATACCTTGGAAATTGAGGAGATACAGGGCTGTTTGGGTGTCAATATCTCCAATTAGTGAGTATTCTAAATTTCTACATTTAAATTTTCGTTAAAATTAAATTTAAATTTAATTTAAATTTAAATTTAAATTTTGCTTGAGTTAATATACCTAAAAAAAATAAAATTTGATTCTCAACTTAAATATTTTTCCCTTTTGTTTTTACAGTCCTTATTCCCATTTGCCCGCTTTTCCAAGGACTTATGGGCCACGTCCTACTGATCCGGCATTAGAATTAATCTATTGTCAAAGATACCGAGAAGAGTGGGAAGATCTTGTTTTAGTGGGCAGTAGGTGGGAGACGGTAAGTTCCCCCCCCCTTTTTTTTTCTTTGCTTTACAAAATTTTGTTAAAATAAAAAAATAAAATGTTTTTCTCTTTTGTTTTGTTTTTTTTTTTTCAGAGATGGGCTTTACGCATGCCGGTCATCTGGCATGAGTGTTAATTTTAGTTATTTATTTATTATTATTATGTATTGTATTTTAAAACAAACTTCCGCTTTTTCTTAATAAAAAAAAATCTTTCACGTTTTTAGAATTAAATATAACATTAATTAATAAACAATATTGAGTTTTTATTGATGATTTTAATAAAAATTAATAATTGCAATGTTCGTCTTTTTCTTTTGTGTTCTATACCCCCTTTCTTTTTTTTTATTTTTTTAGAAAAATTAAACAACAAAAAAAAATTTTTTTTTAAATAAATAAAAGAACGAAAGTTCGTTTGTTTTCATGGTTAGTGTGCTGTTTAAAGTTGTGGTTATTTTACTATATATCTTTTCTTTCAGTAAAATTTATTAATATATATTAAAAAAAAAAACGATAGGTTTTTTAATAATTTTTTTTTTCTAAATAATATCCTTATAAATAAATAAATAAAAAAAAATACGCAAAAAAAAACTTGTTGTCTGATAATTGAAATATCTTTGCCGCTCTCTTTTATTTTCTGTGCTACCTATAGTACTTGCGTACTTATGGTAAGCCATTAGGCTTTACATTGTTCAGCAATTAATCCTCGCGGTGGCAGCATCTTGCAGCCCGTCGCGGTTTCCTTCCCCCTTCGTTTCTACCTCCTTCTAATCCCTGTTTCTTTTTCCCTTGTTTCGCTTCCGCGCGGTCCTAGCGGCACGCAATAATTATTTCGCGCTTCATTTTTTCTTTTCGTTTTTTTTTTTTTTTTTTTAGTGATTTGTGTTTTTTTTTTTTTTGGTGTTTGTTCTCTCCCTTTTGACAGTGTAAAGTGGTTAAAACAAAGTGTATGTGTAGTGTATTTACTCTAAGTCCGCCCTTCCCCCCTTCGTCCCTTCGTTTCGAAGTGTTTACTGTAAAAAAAAAAATTTTTTTTTTTATATGGATTACGTTGGATTATTTATTTAACCTGTGTCTCATGGATTAGTTCCAGAGTTACAACATCGGTAAGTCTCAACAAATAATCCTTTTCATTTATCTCCTTCATATATTTTTTTTTATATTGAATAATTACCAATTTTAATTTATATTTAAAGTATAAGTATAATTTAAAATATTTCATTGTTTCCTTTTTTTTTATTCTTTTATATTTTTCTTTTCTTTGCAACTTATTTTTTTAGCTTTTGCTGAGTTTTGTTTTTTTTTTTTGATAAGCCGTCTCTCTCGCGTGTCAAATTTCCCGCGGTCTTTGCGAGGTTGCCATGTTTAATCTTTTTCTTTTTAATATATTTTGAATTTAACTCTCCCCAAAAAAAAAATCTTTTTATTTCTATTTTTTTTTTATATTTAACGTGATATTACCCCATTGCAATATCTAATATTACATCTTATTATTTTATACAATATTCCATCCCCCATATAATTGAACTAATATTCTATAATATCTAATTATTTATATACTATTTATATCAAACTTGTTGATATCTTTCAAAATTTTAATTGATTTTTGGATAAATCTTTGAATTGAATTTTGTTTTAAAATAATTAAAAAAATGAAAAACTTTCGTTATTATAATTATTAGTAAGGAAAAAAAAATTTTTAAATACCAGTATTTTTTTTTGGTAAAAAAAAATCGTAAAAAAAAAATTAGTCAAATAATATTGGCCTTGTGTACAAATAATTATTTCTATAGTGTTGGTAGGGTTCCGCGCTGAACGCGTTGAGTGTAAGCTCCCCTCGCGTCCCTCGACATTGTGCGAGAGAGAAAGAAACTGCGTGCTGCAACTTCCCGTTCACTCTCTCTCTCTCTCCAATGCACTTTGCTCACACCTTCTGTCCTCTCTGTTTTCTCATTGTCTTTCTCTGTTACTCTTATGCCTAATGCATGTGTGGCTTTATATTATTTCTCTCTTAGTTTTTAACGTCGTTTAGAGGCATTTATTTTATATCTTTTTATTCTTATATATTTTTTTTTTATTTAAACAAATTATCTCCCCAAAGAAAAATGCATTACCCTTGTTAGTTCTATCCCTTGATTAATAATATATATATTTTTTTCTTTTTTTTTTTTTTTAAAATGTCATTTAATCAATTAATCAATTAATTACTTAACCAACTAAAATTAGTAACTACTTAAATCAATAATAATCAAATGTTGATTATTAGTTAATAATTAATTGTTCCCTCCCTATAAGAAAAATGAATTACCCCTTTGGCAAAATCATTTAATAACTAGCAAAATTACACGTGCGCGAGCGCACGTTTAACTTTGAATGCAATGGTTGTTTTGAAATAGTAATAATATTAATAATAATACCAGGCCTTGGATCGACTTGAAAACACAAAAAAAATCGTTTTCGTCGAATTATGTTCCAAAAAAAAAATCGAAAAAGTCGATTCCCCTTTTTTTTTTCAACAAAAAAAAATTTACAGATTTTCAAATAAAAATTCCTTTTTTGAATAATGATAATTTTAGAAGAGTTGTAAAAAAAAAATTTTTTTTTTTTTTTTTTTTTTTTTTTAAATAAATGAATTTCAACAGTTTTTGTTAATTTTCAGACAATAATTAAATTTTATAGAATTAGAATAATTTATTAAATAATTTCAGATAACTTTTTTTTTGTTTATTTTTTTAAAGTAATTGAATTTTCAACGATTTACCATTGAGATTTTTGAAAACAAAAAAATTTTTTTTTTTTTTGAACTTCAAGTACTTTTTAATTAATAAATGGTTTCAAATACACGGAGAAACAAAAAAGGATAATTAAAATTTCCCTAAGGAGTGTAAAACTTGACATATTTTTAGTGTCAACTAATAGGACAATATTCTATTATTTTAAAGTTACTATCTTCGCAGGGTCAAAACAAAAGGATCAATTTCACAGTCCAGGAAGGTATAGGGCAATATCTTTTCGATTTATTTGTAGGAAAATTAATTTAATTAGTTATAAATAGTTGTGTAATCAAAATAATAAAATACAGTAATTTCTCGTATTTAAATATATAAAATATAAAACTCAATTCTCGCTATATATATTTTTGTGGTCAACACTGAAAACATTTTTTTTTTTTTTAAATTATACATCTCAATTCTTAATAATCTTTTAAATGATTAAAATAGTTGCAGAAATTTTCAAGTTTTAATTTTCAGTTTTTAATTTTCATCTTTCAACAAATTTTGAAATAAAATTTTTGATTCAATAGAATTTATTCAAAATTGTTAAAGATAATCAATTGTAAAGATAAAAATAATTGTTCATAAATTACGATTTTTTAAATCACATATATAATACTTCCGAATATTATAGATATTGTAAATTTTTTTTTTTTTTTTTTTTTTTAAAAAAAGAGATTGAATTCAAAATTTTAATAATTTAATAATTAATTAATAATTAATAATATTAATAATGGTTTCGCTGACGTTCTAGCTCTTCATGCGATTAACATAAGTGTTGTTGCAATTTTCTTCCATTTTACTTAAAAATAATCTCAATAACCACAAATAAATGTCATTTTTCTTTATCGATTTTCATTTTTCTCTTGTACTCGCGTATAATACAAATGATTATCGAATTACTTAGTTTAAATATCCTGGAGTGTAAAATTACCTATAAAATGTGTGTAACATTTACAGAGGAAAAAATATAGTAGAGTGTAAATGATATTATATGGAAGGTCAGATTAACTATATAAAAAAAAATTCTAACATTGAAAATTCAACACTCCAGTTTTCTCCGTGTAATTGAATTTTCGAATATTATTATGAAAATAGTTAAAGATAAAATCGAATTTCATGCGAGAGTTATAATTGAAATTATTAAATTTCAAACAATTTTAGATGGTAAGTTTTTAAAAGTTTTAAATTGAAATTTTTGCAAATAATTAAATCTCAATTGAAATTTTTGGATAATAATTTAATTTTAGTTGATTTTAGATTGAAAATATTGATAATAAATAATTTTGAATTGAAATTTTGGAAAATAATTGAATTTCAAAAGATTGTGTTAATTTTCAGACAATAATTATTATAAATAAGAGAAAATTCTAATAATTTCTGTTGATGAAGAATTTATTAGAATTTTTATGGTAATTTTTTTTAAATTATATACAACGATTAAATTTCATGAAAATTTTAACTGAAAAATAGTTTAAAATAATTGAATTTGTGATAATTTCCTTTAAAATTATTGAAAATAGTTAGTTTAGTGAAGAGTTTTATTTAAAACTTTGTTATTCGACATATTCGAAAAAAAATCGTATAATCCGAGGCCTGTAATAATAATTCTGCATCAGTGGAGTAATAAATTAGTAATAGGTAGATTTCTAATTTTCACGTTATCATTTATTTATATACACAAAGAAAAATGAGTTTGATGTTATATAGATAGTGATTTAATTTTTTTTTTTTTTTTTTAATTAATCCAGCTCATACTTATTATAGTTAATTAAAGGAATACCCATTTTATGTTAAACTTATAAATTACTATTTTCCCAAAAAAAAATTTTCTTTTATTTTTAGTATGATGAGTTCCCCTGCCTCCGGCTCTAGTGATTTGGAGTTTGTTTCCCTTTTCCGCCGTGAGGACATTGTTTGGCCCGAGGTAGAGATTGATTCCACTTGTAGTGAAATCAGTGACGCCTCTACTTTACCCTTACTCACTAGTACCCGTAAGTGTCTATAACTACCCCTAAAATTTAAAAAGAAATATTGTTTTGCATAAGAAAAAAAAATTTTTTTTTTTGTTATTTCCTTTATTTAATTTTATTTAGGTTTTTTTTTTTTTTTTTTTTTTATATATTTTTTTTTTTTTTTTTTTTTTTTAAAATATTAAAAAAAAAATTTTCTTTCTAGCTGCCCAAAGTGAAATACCGGACACTCCTGCTTCCCCTGATCCTGTATTTGAGGCGTATTTTGACGCCCATGCACGACCTTATAGCCCAGGTTAGTAGCCTCCCAAAAAAAAATATATTTTTATACACCTATATTTTACCCCGTCCTCAATATTTATTGCCTAAAACAAAATTTTTATTTTATTAAATTTTTCTTTTTTTTTCTTTTTTTTTTTTTTTTTTTTTTTTTCAGCCCCCCTTTCTACTGGTGTTGAATCTGTTGGATCTCGCTTGACACGAGACAGCTCCACCCAGACCAACCCCTATTTTCCGGAGGGTTTACCTTTGGAAGGTATTAGCTTATTTTTATTATTTCTAGTAATTCACTTAATGTATGTATGTAAAAATTATAACTTTTTCACTACCCCCTCCTTTTTTTTTATAATAATTTTTTTTTTTTTTTTTTTTTTTTTTTTAGGCCATCTTTATAGTATTCCGGCGCTCAGTTCAGCTGAACATTTGCTGAACAGTGATCTCCCTCTTCGTCCCTATGTTGAGTATTTATTTCAAATAATATATATAATAATAATTTTAACATTAAAAAAAAATTCCCTTTTTTTTTTTATTTATTTAAATTTTTTTTTTTTCTTTTTTTTTTTTTTTTTTTTTAATTAGAACCCCCTTCTGCTGACGAGCAAGTGGTCCTGCAGCTGATCGCTCGGCGTAGAATTTTGGCTGACGGTTCCATCCGAATGGAATATCGGTGGGCTGGTCCTAATTTTTATTAAGTAAGTTTCCCCTTATCTATTTCTAATTCTCCCTGTTTTTTTTTTCTTTTTCAGTTTTACAGTAAGTATATATTACGACCGTAATTTTTTTTTTCTATTAATGTAATTCTAATAACGTATTGATTTTATTATTGTATATAATATGTATAACTGTATGCTCCCCCTTTTTTTTTTTGAATACCCTTTTTCTTTTAGAACCCATTTTACATTATTTGTTGACCTGCAACTGGTCTAATAAGATGATTTAAAAAAAAAAACAAAACAAAAATCCTATATATATAAAAAAAAATATATATTTCTCCCCTTTTTTTTTTTTATACCTTATATCTATATGGTTAGTTCTTTCCCTTTTTTTTTTTTTTTAAAAAAAAATGCTACTATATACAACGATATACCTAAAAAAAATATATATATATATATATTAGATCAATCCGATCTATTTTATTATTGGTTAAAAAAAAATGATTATTTTCCCTCTTTTTTTTTTTTAATGGATTTTTACAACTGGACACATTACGGTTCTTCTTTTTGGTTTTGGTGTAGGTGTCCCTGAAGTTAATACTTGAATAGATTCTGAGAAGCTGGCTGTAGCTTCTTCTTTTGTGGATGTCGTAACCTTTGTTTGATTTATTTCGGTTGGAATGTCTTGGGATAAATCTCTCATTTGTACTTCATTTGTTTTGTCCTTTCCATTCAGGATATTGTTTATGGTTGTGGATCTTTTCTTACAAGTAATCATAATTATTATCACTGTTGCTAAGATTGCTATTGTGGTGACCGTGCCCCAAATTCCTATCATTACTGGGGAATATGTCTCATTGAGTTTTTGGTTCAACACACGTTGGCTTTGTTCTTCGAATTCTTTCTCTAATAATTTCAGTTTTTCGTCCGACTCCGACTTTTTCCATGAAAAGAACTTGTTGTCGTTTTCTACTACTACAACCTTCCGACCTACATCCTTCAGTATAAATGATACATTTTCTAACTTTAATTCGAGTTTGGGTTTATAAAGATATCTATACGGATTTTCTTTAATTTGAAGACTCGGCAATTCTATAGTATCTAACTTAAGAATACATTCTCTCGCCACATGTACAATTCCTATACCTGCCAAAGTATAAGCTTCGGCTTCTCTCTGTGGGCAATTCAAATACACTATTTCCGAATGGATAAGAGAGTATAACCAACTACCTGTTGTGATCAGTGGTTCCCACAGTGGTTGTTGATTTTTAGTGAACCTAATGTCACAAATTTTTAGGGTTTCGTTGTTTGGATTTCTTCGAAGCTCGGCCTCACAACCCGGTACTGACAGAATATCGTAAACTCCGTGCATGTGATAACATATGTATTTATCTTCTATCCGCTTGCAGCTTTTAAGTTGTTCCTCATTTAGATAAAAATAATACCTTTCATCGCTTGTAATTGCTAGATATTTTGCATATGCTGATATATAAGCTCTAGTTCCGTTCTCCCCTGACTCTTGTAAAACCGGCACTTCATGCATCTTATATAATGTGTAAATTCTTTCTTCCACCAGAGGAATATCTAAGGTTATAATCAAATTATTCTCGCTAGTGTGTATGTCTGTTTGTGAGATTCTGTCCACGTCTGAAAGTGTTATATCGTCTATAGGTACCGGAAAGTCCACGCCCTTCAAGTACTTCTTCGCCTCTGTTGCTATGGTCACTAGTTGTTCGTCTGTTAACAATTTAGGTGACAATTTTCCTTCTTTCGCTTTATACATTATATCGAGTGTTTCACTTAGACCGTGTTCGTAAATCCCTATTTCGCGGTTCCAATTCTCAATGGTATTCCTAATATTGTGCAAATAAGCTTCGTGATCCAATTCATTTCGAAAACGTAAAATTTCGTCCTCAAACGCTCTTAAATTTTCCCTAAACTCTTGCGATTGATTGTGTTGTTTTTCGGCTATGTCATACATTTTGTGTAATTCCGCTCGGACTACATGTGTTTGTTCGCCCATTAAATGAGAAATATTCCTTTGAGCTTCATTGAGTTCTAACATAACTGCTTTATAGTTTTCCCCTTCTTCGTAGGTTAAAACCCCAATAGTGGGCCCTATTAGCTTTCCCAGTATTCCCATCAAGGGTGCACTTCTCTTATTAATCCTGTTATTTGGTAATTTTTGGTTTGTTGATTCCGTATGTTTTAGAGCTTTAATAACCCTTTGTACTTCTTTCCAGTGCAATTTAGCTATCTCTAGCCTATTTTTCAAACCTTCCGTGGGTGCGAAATGATGGCAAGTGTTGCCTAATATTTTCTTGCATGGCTCGTTCGCTGCTATTACGTGTTTCTCAAAAATTAGTAGTTGGTCTAAAAAGTCTTCCATATCTAATACAATGGCTGTTCTCCAAAACCCGGTGGTTCTTAGCACTGTGGATATTCTTTCATAATAAATGCCTGAACTTTTGTTCATTGGTATTATAGTGATGCCTGAATTTTGTCCCCTGATTGCTACTAATATCCCTGCTAGAATTAGCGTTATCCCCTTCATTTCGGCTATGATTCTGCAACCAAAAATTTAAACTGCCTTTTAGTTAAATTGGCTAATCTATTGGATTTAGACAATATGCGTCTCTCTACTCTATAGCTAGCTTAGCTAATTTATCTGCTTCTTCATTGCCTTTTATTCCACTGTGCCCCGGTTCGTAAATTAGTTCTACTTTGATCCCGGTTATGTTATCGCTTAGCTTGCTAAATATCTCCTTACTAACTACCGTTTTCCTTCTGTTCGTTTTCCACCCATTTTCTTTCCATTTCGGTAACCAATTCAGATAACCATCTATCGCAAATTTAGAGCCGGTGTGTATCCTGACTTTGCATAAACCCTTTTTCTTTAGTATGTTAATTGTTTTCACGATAGCTTCTATTTCGGCTCCGTTATTTGTTTGTTTCATCTTTGCTTTTTCACTGACATTAAGAGGATGTTGTTTATTAAACCAGATTCCTATACCTGCTCTTGCTGATTCTTTTCCATTAGCTTTACAAGCCCCGTCGGTAAAAACATGTATGAAACCTTCCCTATCTTCTAGAAATCCTGCTTCGTTTTCTAGTCATAAGTACGCCTTTTTGACTTGGTCTTTGTGTTTTCTAAACCTTTTTCCTTCAGCATCGCATAGAATTAAGTTGCTATTTTCAGTTATTGAAATGACTTCGTAGGGTCCGTGATAATAGGGTTCGAACTTCCCTGCTCTGACCTCCTCTTTCACGTCTACTACATCCCCTACTTTTATATCCAACGGTCTAGCTTGTTGGTCATAAACCCCTTTTGATTTGATTTTAGCGTCTATTATATTTTTTGCCGCTAGCCTCCTGATTTCAATAAGCCGCGTAACTAATTCTTGCAAATAGGATTCGTACGTTACTAACTTCTCTTCTGTGGGAAAAGATGTAGGAATCCTTGCCTTTTTCCCAAATACTACCTCATAAGGTGTGAATTTAGTCGCATTATGTACTGAGGTATTGTATGCTAACATTGCAAAGGGCAATAAGCGATCCCAATCGTCGTTTGAATTAGCGTAATGCCTAATGTATTCTGCTAATACAGCATGACTTCTCTCTAGGGCACCATTTGTTTGTGGATGATAAGCAGTAGTGGTTACTTGTGACACTTTAAAAAGTTTGGCTAACCTTCTCATTAAATTGCTAGTAAACATTCTACCCCTATCTGTTAGGATGGTTTTAGGTGCTCCATAAATTGAAAATAAATGCGTTGCTAGAGCGTGAGCTATTGTCGTCGCACTTATGTCTGGGACGGGTATAAATATGCAATATTTGCTTAACTGGTCTTGCATAGTCAATACGTGACAATTTCCATCCGCCGTAGTGGGTAATTTTCCTACCGTATCTAGGCACACCTTGTCGAACGCTTCTAGGGGTGTATCAGTTATGAGCATTGGTTCTCTATTTTTTGTTCGTATTATCTTTCTTTGCGCGCAACTTCTACATTTTCGGATATATTCAGTAATATCTTGTTTTAATCCTGGCCATGTAAATTTTTCTCTTATTCGCTGGTAAGTTTTATTCACCCCCTTATGACCTGCTATTAAACTGTCATGGTATTCTGATATTATTTTCTCGCGATACTCCTTTGTAGGAATGCTTATTTTTCCGTAGCATAACTTGATTTCAATTTCACTACTGCGAAATGTTTTCACTAACTTTTCTATACCTTTTTCACCCCATTCATCCAATAGATCACCATAGCGCGACACCCTGAATCGTTTTATCCCCTCTTTAATTAAAATGGCTCTAAGATTATGCAGAGCGAAATCTAAATCCTCTTCTTTTATTTTTTGATCGCATTTTTCTGTTATAATTACTGTGAAAGTCCTATATTTCCCTTTTGGCGTAATTAGAATTTGCCCTACCCTCGGTTTGCTACTTTTTATTTCCTGCAAATCTATTCTTCCTGTCGCTATCAGCAACTTAATCGTTGGTGTAGATGGCTCTGCATCTGCTGACATAAAATGAACATAATTGTTAATGGTCCTCTATCATAGGTTAGAACATTTAGCCTATCTAGTTTAATTTCCTTTTCATCTTGTTTCGTGTTTTGAAAAGGAGGTTCTCGAACGTCAATGTGGGGCATCGCTATGTTTATCCCAGGTCTGAATCTTATCGTATTTTTATCAGGCACCCTTTTTACTTCGTTCGTTATTATTTTACGTGGAACTACTCCCTTTTGCCTAGGCTCTATTTCTAAATCGTCTAACTCTGATTCTTCCCTAATCGGGTTAGGTATATAGGGGGTTGATTGAGCGTTAGGTCTCGCCCTTGAGATGGGAGTGTCGAAAGTGACTGTTTTCTTACTATTTATAGCGTCTTTTACCGAATCTCTAGTTTCTTTTTCTAAATTGCTATTCTCCGAGGTGCTTTTGTCCGGTTGATTTATTTGTTCTGAGATTTCCTGTAAGTCCGCTATAATCTCATCTATTGATCTAACTTCGTCCTGATCTATTTCTTCTTCATTTTCTATTTCATTCGCCTGTTCCTCAACGAATTCATCATCCCAAAAATATGATTGATGACCGGCCATTGTTAAATCGAAACGCTTGATTGATTCTCTAATACTATCTGCCATTTCTTGGTTGGGCCTTTGCGCATTTTCCACGGTTTCGCATATCGTTACATCCTCCTCATTTTCTTCTTCTGATGTATCTACGGGAGGACTTAAATACACCTCGATTTCGTCGCTCCTGATAGGTTGTATAACTCTATTAGTGCTATCGCTTTCGCTTGATTCGTCATCAGTATCCTCTGCATTCGTGTCATTTAAAGACGGTAACATACTATGGCTTTTTCGCAAAATCGGTACATCTTCTGCCTCTACTCTAGTTTCTGATTCCGTATCTGATTCATTACTTTCTGAGATGAGTGTGTCATAAATAGTTTTTGAGTTTTTCTCCATAACGACTACCGGCTCGGTTTTAGTTCTCGGACTTAACCTTGACGCGATGGGTGTAAAATTCACAGGCTGTATTGCTTCTTTAGTTTTAGTTTTCCCCGGTGGTCTACCCCTTTTAGGTTTATTCTCTATTACTGTGCCTTGCTCAATATCTACATTTGTGTCGGATTTAGCCCTATTCCTAAAATAATTAGACGCTCCTTTTTTTGTCTGTTCTTTACTCGTTTTTCCCGTTGAAGGACCAGCTTTATTTTTCTCTAGCAAATTGTTTAAAACTTCACTAGCTCGCTTTTTATTACAATTAGCTGCACTACTAATAGGTAACACATGAATAGTTTCCGAATTTTCTTCTATTTCGTCACTCGAATTATCGCTAGACATCACGCTATCGCTCGTTTCCTGACCGCTAGTTGTAGATTCTTCTTCTTGTGAATCTGACTTTTCTTCTTTTGGATTCTCCGATAATCCTCTTAACCAACGGTTTATTTTTCCCGGTTTACATTCGAAATCATAATGGTAATCCTGCAATCGTAATAACCATTTTGTCATGCGCGATGTCGGTTTCCTAGCCTCGTTTATGATTTTTAACGGCTCGTGATCGCATGCTAGTATGAATTTCCTTCCATATAAATAGGGCCTGAAATTTTCCAGCGCGTAAATTACAGCTAAACATTCTTTTTCCGTGGGATCATAATTTTTTTCCGCTCCGACTAAAGTCCTAGAAAAAAATGCAATTGGCAAATCCATGCCATCTTTTTCTTGTGTGATTACTGCACTGATGGCATGTTCACACGCATCCGTAGTAACTTTAAAAATTTTTGAGAAGTCCGGGTGTTGCAAAATTGGATTTCTACACAACTCCTTTTTTAACGCACGTAGACTTTTCCTTTCTTCTGAATCCCATTTAAAAATTTTATCCTTTTTCAATAATTCATACAGAGGTTTCGCGATTTTAGCGTAGTTAGCTATGAATTTTCGATAATAGCCAGTAATACCTAGAAACTCACGTATCATTTTTTGATTTTTTGGTGCTGGAAAATCCTTTATGGCTTCTATTTTCTTTGGGTCAGCTTTTATTCCGTCCTCCCCTACTAAATGTCCTAAGTAAGCTACTTCTTTGCGCAGAAACTCACATTTTTCCGGTTGTAGGGCTAATTTAGCATTTCTTAATCTCTCTAATAAACGCATAATGGTTTTATCATGCTCCTCTAACGTGGCCGAGAATACTATGATGTCATCTAAGTAAACAAACAATTCTGGTCCTTGTAAACCCGTTAAAACGTTATCCATTAGTCTTTGAAAAGTGGGAGCCGCATTTTTGATACCCATGGGCATTCTTTTGTATTGGTAGTGTCCCCTGCCCGATGAAAACGCTGTCTTGTGTTGATCTTCTTCTGCCGTACCTATTTGGTGATACCCCATAGCTAAATCGAAAACGGAGAAGTATTTAGCGCCCCCTAGCCTCTCCAAGATTGTACTAATCAGGGGCATTGGATAGCTGTCTCCCTCCATCTTATCGTTTAGCGCGCGAAAATCGATAACTAATCTATATTTTTTATTCCCCTCTTTGTCTGCCTTTTTTGGTACTATTAAGACGGGTGAATTGTAACTCGAATTTGAATTTACGATCAAATCATCTCCATACATTTTTGCTAAAAGCTTTGCTCCGGCTTCCTCATATTCAGGAGGTTGTCGATATTGTCTGCATTTTATTGGTTTATCGTCTGACAGTGGAATGTAATGTTTCACTAAAGGCGTGACTGGCAGTTTGTCGCCAGGTGCTAGAAACCTATCTTGTCCTAGATCTATCCATTTTTTTACATAACTCAGTTCTTCTTCATTCAAACCCTCTAAATTCATTTTGTCGAGAATTGCCTTAACCCTTTGTTCCTTAACTTCTTGTTGGTTATTTTGCTGATTGCTAAAAATTTCTTCTTCATCTACATAATCAAACGGATAAAGCTGTTGGGGGAGTATAGCTACTTCGATTTCTTTTTCCGTAGTATTAATTGCCATAATTTTGCATTTTCCTTTCTTTTGTTTTACTAATGCTTCACCTAACATTAACCCGGCTGGGGCTTCTATTCTCGGTAAATATCCCTCTTTAAGGTCTTGATTGGCTACTGGAATGTCTATTATTTGCCTAGTTCTAGCCTTGATTCTAAACAGACGCGGTACTGGTTTAACCTCTTTCCTCAAACTATGTCTAGCGTCATGTGATTCCTGATCTATAAATGGAATGGGTTGTACTGGTCTCGATGCAGTTATTAGTGAATTATAAAAAAAATTAATATTGGCCCTTTCTTCTCTTAAATATGGCCTTCCTATAATACCGTCTGTTCTGACCCCAAAATTTGGTTTCACTACATGAAACGTGTATTGTTTGTCAAATATGGTAATATCAACTGTACCCAAAGTATAAACCCTAGTTTTTGACACTCCTGTCATGTATGACGCTTCGGAGGTTTTGACCGGTGCATCCGGGCTTAA